CGCAGCCCAAACTCCTCGCGCTGCGCAGCCGCGCCGCGCCGCGCCGGGCCCGGCCGGTCTCTTACCTACACAGTGCATGAGGCGGTGGCGCCAGGAGTCGAGTTCCCGCCGGAATCCTCTCCTCTCCGCCGCGCACCGAGGGCTCCGGCACTGCGCGGAGGCGGCGGCGGCAGCAGCGGCGGCGGCAGCGGCCATTCTCTCTCTTCCCTTGTCCATCTGCGTCCCGCGTCACGCGCCCTCATTTACATACGAGCGGCGCAGGCACGAGGCAGGGGCGCGAGCCCTCGGCGCGAGCCCCGGAGCGCGCGCCCCCCGGAGGGGGTTGATTGACACGTGTCACTACCTTCCCTCGGCCCTTCCCTCCCCCTCCCACCGCTCCCTCGGGGAGAGGCGGGGAGGGAGCCCGGGAAGGAGGAAGCAACCTGCCGCTTCCGCTGACCCCGCCTCCCCGGGCACCCCCTCCCTGCGCCCTCCCCCCGGAGTTTACTCGAGTGAGCCATCCCCGCTCCTGCCGCCCGCGAAAACCCTGAGCGGGAGCGAGAGGCCCACGGCCCCGCCAGGAACCCGCGCGCTGATGGAGCGCGCGACGATGGCAACGCCTCCCTCCTGCCTTCGCGACAGAGCGCGAGCCTCCACTTCCCAGGCGGCATTGCGCCCTGAGTCCCGAAGCCGAGCTCGCCGCGGCGGCGCGATGCACGCTGGGACTTGTAGTCTTGCAAAGGTGAGCACTCACCGGTGCTGGGTTTCTCCGCGGGCGCCCCGGACGCTCCGGACCGTGCGCTGCAGAAGTTCCGGGGGGCTCTCCGAGCCTCTTCTTGCTTTGAGAAATTCTGGCGCTGGCGCTGCTAGAATGGTGTGTGCAGGATCCTTTAACTGAACTAGAATTTCCGAGTGCAGGCAGCGCTTTACGTTCTAAGTGATGGAAACTTTTCAGGGGTATTGCCATCTGGTCAATCAAAAGGGAACGAGCAAGTGGGTCAGCATCTTAATGAGTTCCATCCAGAGAGCTTGAGTGTTTAAGGATTGATGGCAAGATGCGGGACATTTTTCATCTGAAATTGTTTACAGGTCTGAAACTCCAAGAGGGATTTAAAAAAAAACAAAACAAACAAACAAACAAAAAAACCAACATTTTGCCTAAGGTGAGCCCCTGCAAGGCAGTGATCCAGGGCGACCCCTGTATCATGACAACTTTCTGTTGTCAGCTCCTAGCACAGTGCCTGGCATTCATGGAATGTATGGAATAAATTCTACCCCGTGCTGGAGAAAAGCTTTCATTAAAAAGACACTAATTCTGGCATTGAGTACAGCACTAACGTGATACCTGTGTGTTTAGGTAGAGGGAAAGTCAGAATTGAAGCCAAAGTTAACGAAAAAGTACTCTTGTTGGAACCAACCCTTAGCTGACCCTCCAGCAGGGTTTCAGAGGTAGTAAATCCCATAGGAGGAGATTGCCCATCTTTCTCCTGGAAACAGCCAGTAGATTTGAACCTCATTCTTTCCTTCCGGTTGACAACTCAGCTCCTCTCCACTAGTCCACCAGAGCCTCTAGGGAAGTGCTGGAGTTTACTGGGACTATAACGCACAACTGTTTTGGAAATAGATTGTCATTTCTTTCTGGATACTTATAAATTCTGAATTCAATTCTACGTTTCCTGTTCTGTAGCTTTTCCTTGTTCGCTTTCTCACTTTTTCTTCTATGAGAAAGTCTTTCATTGGTCACATTTGCTGTGCTGCCAACTACCAAGTCCAAGTCCGGTATTTCAAACCCACCAGCTGCTCTGAGGAAGAAAGATGGCCAGTCTCCTCTCCTGGGATTGATAGCTTTTGACAATGCTCTGAAGGATCAGTTATTTGTCAATTCTAACTCCACGGCACATAATAACATTACCTCCCTCAAGAGTGAAGCTGTAGCTTTGTATTTTCAAAAATCAAACAAGAAAAGTTGGCAATCTCATAATCTTTTCTAGACTAGCTATACGTGAAATCCTGTCACTAAAAAAAAAAAAAGTTATTTCTAGATCCATCTTGAAGTACAACATCGTGAATAACAGGATCATATCCATAC